TAGCCAAATTCTAAAATTACCAGATCAAAGAGAAAATACTGCAAGCAGCCATACAGAAACAATTTAAATATCATGGAACCACAGTCGAGATTACACAGAACCTTGAAGCTTCTATATTTAAAGATCAGAAGGTGTGAAATACAATATTCCATAAGTCAAAGGAGCTTGGATTACAACCAAGGATCAACTACCTAGTGAAACTGAGCATAATCTTTCAGGAGAGAAGGATATTCAATGAAATAGGGGACTTCCAAAACTGCCTGATGAAAAGACCAGAGCTCAACAGAAAATTTGACCTTCAAATACAAGGCTCAAGAGAGGCATAAAAAGGTAAACAGGAAAGAAACAACAACAACATATTATTATTATTAATAAGGGCAAACTGTTTACATCCCTACAAGGGAAGGTGACACTTGTAACTCTTAAGAACTGCAATGTCATCATGACATTTAAAAGGGGGTATACTTAGACAGAGGGTGTGTGTTTTAGTTGACTTTGATGTGATACTAAAAAAATCTAATTAAATGGTGAAAAGAGATTGTACTGGGGGAAGAAGAAAGGAGTAGGAAGACAAGGATAAATTATATCACATGAAAAGGCACAAAAACCAAATACAGCAGAGGGAAAGAAGGGAGGGAGATGAGCATTGTTTGAACCTTACTTTCATCAGATTTGGTTCAAAGAGGGAATAACATAATCAGTTAGGTATAGAAATCTAACTTATTCCATAGGAAGTAAAAGAAAAGGAGGGGGCTAATAGAAGGGAGGGAGGACTGAAGGAGGCAGTGGTAGAAAGCAAGATTCTACTGAGGAGGGAAAGAGAGAAAGTTGACAAAAAAGCATAAAGGTGGGGGAATAGGATGGAGAGGAAGACACTGAAAGTAATCATAACTGTGAATGTGAAGGGGATGAACTCTCCCATAAAACAGAAATGGATAGCAAAACGGATTAAAAATCATAATCTTACAATATGTTGTTTACAGGAAACACATTTAAAACTGAGGGATACACATAGGGTAAAGTTAAAAGGCTGCAGCAGAATATATTATGCTTCAGCTAAAGTAAAAAAAAACAGGGGTAGCAATCCTTATCTCAGACAAAGCAAAAGAAAAATAGATCTAATTAAAAGAGATAAGGAAGGAAACTATATCCTGGTAAAAGGAATTACAGATAATGAAGTAATATCATTACTGAATGTATATGTATCAAGTGTTATAGCAGCCAAATTCTTAAAGGAGAAGTTAAGAAAGATACAGGAAGAAATAGCAAAACTGTACTAGCAGGGAACCTCAACCTCCCCCTCTCAGAACTAGCTAAATTTAACCACAAAATAAACAAGACAGAAGTTAAGGAGATCAACAGAATCTTAGAAAAGTTAAATATGGTTGACCTCTGGAGAAAACTGAATGGGGACAGAAAGGAATACACTTTTTCTTGGCAGTACATGGCACCTACACAAAAACTTACCATGTACCAGGACATAAAAACTTCACAACCCAGTGCAGACAGGCAGAAATATTAAATGCATCCTTTTCAGATCACAATGCAATAAATAGTATATGTAATAAAGGGCCATGGAAAGACAGACTAAAAATTAATTGGAAACTAAATAATCCTAAAGAATGAGTGCATCAAACAACAAATCATAGAAACTATCAATAACCTCATCCAAGAGAATGACAATAATGATACAACATACCAAATCTTACGGGATGCAGCGAAAGCAGTTCTTAGGGGAAGTTTTATATCTCTAAATGCTTACATGAATAAAATAGAGAAAGAAGAGATCAATGAATTGGGCATGCAACTAAAAAAAGCAGAAAAAGAACAAACTGAAAAATCCCAATGAAATACCTAATTAGAAATTCTGTAAACCAAAGGACAGATTAATAAAATTAAAATTAAGAAAACCATTAAACTAATAAATAAAACTAAGTGCTGCTTTTATGAAAAAACCAATAAAATAGATAAACCTTTGATTAATTTGATTAAAAAAAGAAGACAACCAAACTACCAGCATCAAAAATGAAAAGGGTAAATTTACCACCAATGAAGAGGAAATCAAGACAATAATTAGAAGACATTTTGCCCAACTGTATGCCAATAAATATGACAATCTTAGTGAAATGGATGAATATTTAAAAAATATAAATTGTCCAGATTAACGGAAGAGGAAATAAAATACTTAACCCCATTTTAGATAAAGAAATTGAACAAGCCATCAATGAACTCCCTAAGAAAAAAATCTCCAGGGCCAGATGAATTTACAAGTGAATTCTATCAAACATTTTCAGAACAACCAATTCCAATACTATATAAACTATCTGGGAAAATAGGTGAAGAAGGACTCCTTTTTTTATGATACAAATATAGTGCTGATACCTCAAACGGGAAGAGCCAAAACATAGAAAGGAAAATATAGACCAATTTCCCTAATGAGTTCAGATGCAAAGATTTTAAATAAAATATTAGCAAAGAGATTACAACAACTTATCTTGAGAATAATACACTATGACCAAGTAGGATTTATACCAGGAATGCAGGGCTGGTTCAATATTAGGAAAACTATCAGCATAATTGACCAAATCAACAACAAAACTAACAGAAATCATATGATTATCTCAGTAGACACAGAAAAAGTATTTGACAAAATAGAGCCCCCATTCCTATTAAAACACTACAGAGCATAGGAATAAATGGAGTCTTCCTTTAAATGATAGACAGCATCTACCAAAAATCATCAACAAGCATTATATGTAATGGGGATAAACTAGAAGCATTTCTAGTAAGATCAGAGGTGAAACAAGAATGTCCATTATCACCACTGTTATTCAATATTGTGCTAGAAATGTTAGGTGTAGCCATTAGAGAAGAAAAAGAAATTGAAGGAATTAGAATAGGCAAAGAAGAAACAAAGCTATCACTCTCTGCAGATAATATGATGGTATATTTAGAGAATCCTAGAAACTCAAGTAAAAATACTTGAAATAATAAACAAATTTAGCAAAGTTGTAGGATAAAAAATAAACCTACACAAATCATTGACATTTCTATATATTACTAACAATGTCCAGCAGCAAGAGATAGAAAAAGAAATTCCATTTAAAATTACTGTAGACATAAAATATTTGGAAGTCTATCAGCCAAAACAAAACCAGGAACTATATGAACACAATTACAAAACACTTTTCACACAAATAAAATCAGATCTAAATAACTGGAAAAATATCAGTTGCTCATGGATAGGCTGAGCTAATAGAATAAAAATGACAATTCTACCTAAATTAATTTACTTATTCAGTGCCATACCAATCAAACTACCAAAATTATTTTATACAGCTAGAAAAAACAATAACAAAATTTATCTGGAAGAACAAAAGGTCCGCAACATCAAGAGAACTAATGAAAAGAAATGCAAGGGACGGTAGTGTAGCTGCACCAGATCTTAAATTGTATTATAAAGCAGCAATCATCAAAACTACTTGGTACTGGCTAAGAAATAGAGTGGTGGATCAGTGGAATACTTTAGGTACACAAGACACAACAGTCAATGATTATACTAATCTACTATTTGATATATCCAAAAACTCTAGCTTCTGGGATAAGAAATCACTATTTGGAAAAAACTGCTGGGAAAACTGGAAAAATGGCAGAAACTGGGCATAGACCAACATCTTACATCCTTTACCAAGATAAAGTCAAAATGGGTACAGTATTTAGATATGAAGACTGATACTACAAGCAAACTAGAAGAGCAAGGAATAGTTTACCTTTCAGATCTATGGAGAAGTGAAGAATTTATGACCAAACAAGAGACTGAGAACATTATGAAATGCAAAATGGACAATTTTGTTTACATTAAATTGAAAAGGTTTTGCACAAATAAAGCCAATGCACCCAAGATTAGAAGGGAAGCAGAAAAATGGGAAAGAATTTTTATAACCAGTATCTCTGATAATGGCCTCATTTCTAAAATATATGGAGAACGGAGTCAAATTTATAAGAATGCACATCATTCCTCAATTGATAAATGGTCAAAGGATACAGTCAAAAGGCAGTTTTCAGACAAAGAAATCAAAACTATCTATAGTCATATGAAAAAATACTCTAAATCACTACTGATTAGAGGAATGCAAATTAAAACAACTCTGAGGTACCACATCACATCCATCAGATTAGTTAATATGACAGAAAAAGAAAATGACATATGTTCGAGGGGATGTGGAAAAATTGGAACACTAATGCACTGCTGGTGGAGTTGTGAACTGATGTAACCATTCTGGACAGCAATTTGGAACTATGTCCAAAGGGCTATAAAACTGGGCATACCCTTTGATTCATTAATACCATTACTAGGTCTGTATGGCAAAGCGATCAAAAAGGAAAAGGAAAAGGACCTATATGTACAAAAATATTTATTTAGTATTACTTAGCTTTGTATTGTGTACATAGTACATTACTATTATCAACTGTGAATGACAGTTTTTCTGATCAACACAATGATCCAAGACAATTCTGAAGGACTTATGATGAAAAATGCTATCCAACTTCAGAGAAAGAACTGATGGAAACTGAATGCAGATTGAAGTATAATTTTTTTCATTTTTTTCTTGTTCTTTTTTCACAACAAGGCTGATATGGACATATATTTTGTATGATTTCACATGTACTACTGGCATAATTTCTTAATTTCATAAGGTAGAGGAGGGCTGGGAGGCAGAGAATTTGGAGCTTGGAAAAAAAAAGAATGTCAAAAATAAATAATTAATTAAAAACAAAAGCAAACAAAAAACAAAAGAAAATACATTAATTAGAAAAACTTGATCTCTTTGCCAAGTGGAAGGAGATGACAGCCAAGGGAATATTAATATGTCGGGAAATGATGAGCAGTGTCAACTCAAAACATAAAGGAACAGTCACATAAGGATGAAAATGAAAAGACACATTTTTTATAAGTTAGCTTCTTAAAGGAATAGAATGAGAAGATTAGTTAGTCTTACCTGGAAATTTTACAGCTTGGCAGTAGATGACAAGGTCAGAAAGCTCTGGGGCTATCTGTCTACTCTCTTTTTTATTCTGTGGAAGATAAAATTCTTCACCCAGTTCCATGTCATAAACCTGTTAAATGATAAAGTAACAGAATTTTACATTGTAGGTCTTGAAAGTACTCTCTCTCTCTCTCTCTCATATACATATAACTTGTGTAATTCAAAATTTCAAATAACTAGAACATTCTGATTTTAATAAGATAACCATATGCAAGTCTATGGTATTATTAAGCCTCTATCCATGTCAGGTAACTGGATAAATGGGGTGTCCTACATTCTTGCAGTAAAGGTAGATCTTTATGGTGGAGTAAGAAAGTATAGTATCATCAGCAATTGCCTCAGGGACTAGCCAGAGGCACTGGCAAAACAGACTATTTCAGACTGACATCCTTTTTGGATGTTCAATTCACTCTGCCTCCTGATGTAACCTACACAAATGTTACAAATGAGTCTTGAACAATAGGATTTCACTCCAAGACCTCAGGCTAGCATTCAGGTCCACCATATATCTTGTGCTGTCAGGATCTCATCTACAGGAAGACTTGCTAGAAAAGACCCAATTTCCCTTCTTCCCTTGTACTTGCCACTATATGCCATTCACATGGCTCTTGGAGGTAGAAGCCTAATGGTGGTAATGAAGAAAACTCAGCTGCCTCATGAAAAACCATCCTACTTCCCTGATGCCATTACCAATTTTCTTATCCATCTTATCCCTTCTGAATTTCAATCCTGCCTCCCTTTTTCATTGTTCTCTCTATTCTTTTCTATCAAAAACCTTCCTTCACCTTAGGCCTCTTCCTCTCATGCTCCTCCCAGGAAATGACCCCTCACTGAGAACTGGTTTCCCCTGAAGACTCTAATCTATAGCCATCCTTTTCAGTACTAGATTCACCTTCTCTCATCTCCCTCCCCTCTCCCTCTACTGGGCCAGGAGTAGGTAATCTCCCTACTTCCAACCACTACCTCCCCAAATCCCCTTTCCCCTGCTCCTCCCATTGCTATCACTCATGTACCTCTCTTCATTTGAGAATCATTTTATCCAGATCCTATTAACTGTTCTCCAATAGCCTACTGGTCATTCTTCCTCCATTCTTACCCAACTTCTCTTATACTAGGGGCTTTTAATATACATGCTACAGCATGTATTTTGGCCTAGTTCATCAATCTCCTCATCTCCCATGACCTAAACTGTTTATTCCACAGGCTGTGTTTCACTATCCCCCATAACTGTTTCTTTTATGAACAAAAACTCTGAAATTCCTCTAATCATAATCTTATTTCATCTGTCACTGTGCCTCATTCCTCCTAGATCTATCCTTTGTTTTTACTAGGACCTCTAATTTACCTTCTTCTGTGTTCTTTCAGGCTATCAGCCCGTCTCTGGCTTTGCTTTCCTCCCATCTCAATCTTTACTTAATAATTAACCAGATCAACTTTACATCGTCCTCTTTCTTGAATCACTTCCCCTCCTCATGCTCATACCTTGCCAAACCTCCATCTAGGAAGAAGTTTTTCCTAACCTCCTTCTTCTCCACAGATTTCTCACACATCTTCATGGATCAGAGATTTAACTGACATCTTTTCCTTGGCTCCAAAGGAAGAAGTACTTCACATTATTCCATTTTCCCAAATGACTTTTTAAACTGTCAGCACATCCTGCCTTTTTCAATATTTCATCTCTCTCTTACATCTAGCTCTTAAAGCAACAGTAACAGTATGTGTATACAGTCATTGTGAGCTAGTCATTCAAAATACATGTTATACTAGAAATGCGCTAAACCATGAACACACTAGATTTTCCTGAAGCTATTCAATATGAGGGAAATGAAGCAAAAAGAGAAACCAGCTCCCAGGATCAAAACTGGTTCTGGTGAACCCAGATATGTTCAATAGTGTGGGCCTAACCACATCACCTTCTTGCTCAAGAAGCTCAAATAGCTCCTAATACGAACTCCTTTGTTTCTCATTTAAAGCCTTTCACAATTTTGTTCCAGCTTACCTTTCCAGGTTTATCATACATTATTCCTTTCATACCCTTTGCCATCCTGTTAGGCTGGTTTACCTGACATTCCTTAAAACAGAACATTTCACCTCCAGGCTCTGTGCTTTGCACAGCTGGTCTCCCATGGCTGTAGTTCTCTCCCTACTCCCTTCCACTTCCTGGCTTCCTTCAAACTAAGCTCCAGTACCATTTCCTTCAGGAGAGCTTTCCTGACCCCAGGAGTTGCTAGGGTGTCACCTCTCTCTCCACACAAATCATTGTGTATGTCCTTAGCATTTAGCTATTGGCTTGCAAATATTTGTACACAAATGTCTTTCCCCTCAGTAGAACATAAACTCTTTAAGGCAGGGGCTGCTTCTTTTATTTTTATAATCCTAAGCTTAACCTTGTTTTATGCCAAAGTGGGGCTGAAGGGAAAATATGTATACTACCTTTCCCTTGTTGCAAATAGAGTTGTCTGTTTTCTTTATCCTCTTGGGAATTTCTTCGTTGTACTCAAACTGTAGTTTGTCACTTGTTGACTTACTTTCAGGTCGGTCTTCCAGGATGTTGTCTGCAAACGAGTTAGAATACCTCCAATGAATATAACAGGACTCAAATTACAGATCCACAGTAGATCTTACTGTATATAAAAGTCAGAGAGCAAAAATGCTTGATATCTGAAAATATCTTCATGTTTGAGTTGTCTCTTTGTGATATAAAAATATTCCAGCAAATAAACAGGACTGAATGAACTTTTCTCACTGAGGTTTTTTACTTTTTTGGACCTTACCTTTGATTTCATTGGGATAGGAAAGTTCCTCTATCTAAGGCTTCTGTAGCCTTACTGTCTTAAGAGAGTTACCTAGCACTTCCCAGGGTCACTTAACTCCTATGTTTCAGAGGCAGAACTTGAACTCTTTTCTTCCTGACTCTAAGATCAGATTTTTAACCACTTATGCAACTCTGCTTCTCTTCACTGAGTTTATTGATTAAGAAACTGATGGATGTTGAAAGTTGTTTTGTTGTAACGTAGATGTGTCCTAACCTTTATATATGAAGATGAATATCAAAGCTATATTGTGTAAAATGACTGACCACATTTGTTTTGTGATTGAAATACCAGTATATCAGAATACAAATTATGCTCTAATTCACCCTATTTAATGTTGTTACTAGTTCTTTTGAGCTTCAAGAATGTCGAAACCAGGAAAAAATATAATAACTTGGAAAATATTCCAACATCTCATTGTTGAGAGGCAAAGCTGAGTAGCTCCACAATTATAAAAATTTATAGAGTGTTAACAGTCAACAGGTTGAAAAAAATCTGACAGATACTCTTTCATTTTAATAATTTAAAATTCTATTCACTATGCAGAAGCAACAACAACAGTTTTAGTGACAAATTCAGTTTTTATCCCTACTCGTCTATTAACATTTTCTTTGGCATCTTATTAAAGTTTTACTATTTTCAGTCCATATATGCATAGACCAAAATATTCTTATGCCAAATCAGTGCCATGCAGGCTACTAAGTACTAAAATAAATACAGAAATTATTCTTTAATACTTATTTGCAGAGGTACCACAATTTCATGCTAAGCACTATTAAGCAGTTTAAAATACAATGCTGAAATTCATGCAGTTAAAATGATCAATTCAAATGGCCTTTACCTTCCTGACTGTTAGGAGCGGGAGAAGCATTAAGGACATCTGCTATAGAAAAACAGAGTCAGACAGAGGATAAAAGTAAAGAAAATTAAGACATAAGGCCAGAGAAATTAAACTGAAGTGCTGAGCAGAGTTTAAATGACAAGAATGGCACAGAATAAAAGGGAACAAAAGAAATGAGGAATACTTTACAACTTCAAAATTCCTGTATGGCATGGCAAAGATTAGCAATAATTAAAGTGCAAAGATCATTACCAAGTATTTTCCATGATAAGGCATAATCTATTAACACAAGGCCGATGTTAAAGCTATTGCCATGTTTTATTGACTATGAACTACTGTTTCATTTCAAACACACAAAAACAGATTAATTTCACCAGAAGAAAACAGTATCTTCATACGACTTCGTATGAATTTATATTACGGCCTAGGTTAACATCTGTGTCAAAAAGATCTGGCCTACCCACTTATAAATACAGGCTATGGAGACTACCTAGGGGACAGAAAGATTTAAATTCTCAGTTTGTATAGGCCAGATTACTATTACCTGATAGTCTTCTAGATAAATAACAAATATATTATCCTTTTTAAGCTTTCTAATCTTGGTGTCTATCCTTTCCCTGACTTGTTTTATTGCTATTACTGATACTGCATATTGACCTGTCTCTGCAAACTTCTTTCCCTATTTTTTTCTCTTTGTAGTTTTCTCTCAGCAACTACCCATCTTTTGATCATATAATTTAAGAGATGAAAAGGGGTTTAGAGATAATCTAGTCCAACCACTTCATTTTGCCAAAAAAAGTGAGTTCAAAGACATGAAGTGAATTTATACACGGTTGTTAATTATTAGTGTCAGAGAAGGGGATAGAAAAAGGGTTTCCTGACTTCCAGTTCAGTTTTCTTTCTACAATATCACAGTGCTTCTTCCAAGATTTATCCTGGGGTCTCTGAGGAAAAATGTGATTTGTTCTGCCTAAATGTGCAGTTTTTATTTTCTCATCTAGAGGTAACTTGGGAGCTATGCAGAGACAGGTGAGGAAACATTTCAGCACAGGGAGGAAAATAACTACAGTAAAGGGAAAGAATATGGTTACAAGGCCAAGAACATAAGTATGTGATTTGTTTGGGATCTGGCCAGAGTCAGAGAAAACTCTCAATTTAATTATGTTGGATAGTTTTCCCTCATATTTTTACTGTTATTGCTTTTAAATGAATATGCAAAGCACACAGATTCTTGGATCCAAAGTAAAAAGTGCCAAAAGTTCTAGCAATTATCTTTAGTGAATGAAGGCTCCCTTTTTTGTTAGCGTCCTCTAAAATGCTAAGGTGGCTTGGGTATTATTTATGGGCAGGTAAGGAAGAAGGGAATCAGCACTACATAGTGGCTACTATTTGCTATATACCATGTTAAATACTTTTTACAGATATTATCTCATTTTATCCTTATAACAACCCTGCAAAGCAGATGGTATTATTATCTTCATTTTACAGTTGAGTAAACTGAGGCAGACAGAGGTTAAGTGACTTGCCCAGGGTCACACAGCTAGTAACTGTCTGTTTGAATTCAAGTCTTCCTGACTCTAGATCCAATGCTCTATCCAATGTGCTACCAGCTGCCCCGTAATTTGCAGCTATGAAATGATTTATTTCCCTTTAATTCATTTCTTGTAATGGAGAATTAGATGCAGTTAATACACAGACTAAGAGAGAGTGCTTGTTGATCTGGGATTCTTCAGTGGTATTTTCATTACCTTTTTCCTTGTGGGAATGTAACACAAATTATAATAGAAGTCAGTGAGAACATATGACTTGAAATAGATATATCAATTAGTGTACAGGCAGATGTAGGAGAAATAACCTTTCTTCCTACCCCCATGCCCTTTTCTTTTAAACTAAAAAAATCATTCTATTCCCCATGCAGGAGTCATGGAATTTCTGAGCATGAAGAGATCATCACTTCTCAAAATCTCTGTGAGAACTGCAGAATCTTTTAGCTAGATGGCATCTTAGAGATCATTTAGGCCAACTCATTTATTTTAGAAATGAAGAAATGCTTACAGAGGTAAAGTTATTTGCCCAGGATTACATAGAGCATCAGTGGCAAAGCTGGAACTAAAGAAATCAGTTCTCTTGACTTATAGCCCAGAGTTTTTGAATGTGTAGTCAAAAGACTGTCTTACTTACAAAGGGCTGAGAGATTTATTCTCATTTAAAACGGGCAATTCTGACAGCGAAAATATATTGTGTCCTTAGCCTTCCTCATCAGCTTGAGCTCACTCTAAGCTTTCATACTTTTTACATTATATCAATCTTCCATTATCTACCTCTGATTCAATCTTTTTGCACATTTCTTTTTCAAACTGTAAGTCAGTCATTTTCTGTGTATTCACGTTGGTCTCTAAACACTTTCTTTCTTTTCAACAGAACTGTATTTTAAAAAAAAATATTGTTGGTATTTCATTCTTTAGAGCTTCCTAATTCTCCCAAGATGAACTTTAGCCTTGGATCCTACCTGTCCTTTCTCTGAAACCTCTAAAATCCATTTTTAGCCCCAAATCTAAGCTACATGTAAGATTATGCCAGGATTTCTTTGATCAGAAATACTATGGCACTCCTTCTATGATTACTATTCCAATAAGCAATTCCTCCTTGTTGATGAAAATCATATCCAGTGTTTAGTTTAATAGTTTGCTTTTATCTCTTCAATTAACAAGATTTTTTCTACTCCAGAGGTTCTTCATTTTATTTTTAAAATTAAGTTTTTACTGATGTCTTTTGTTCTTCATATTATCATAGTTTCTGCCAATATCCCTCCCCCTCTCCTATTTTCTAAATTTTTTGCTACCATGAAATGAGCTGCTATAAATATTTTTGTACATATAGATCCTTTTCCTCTTAAAAAATCCTTTTTATACATAAGCCTACTAGTGGTATATAGCTGGTCATAGAATATGTATAGTTTGGTAACTTTCTAGGCATAGTTCCAAATTGCTTTTCAAAGCCACCAGATGTTCACAGCACCATCAACAATGCAATAATGTGTCTCTTTTTCCATATCCCATCTGCCACCTTTGAATTCCACTCCCTTCTTTTGGAGCGGAGATCCAGTACAGAAAAAGGAGGGGACTTAACACCATTAAGTGATAAAGAGGAGAGGACTAGCTATGTTCTAAATGACGATTAAGTTCAGAAGCAAACATTAGGTTTTGTCTCTGATCCCAGGACCAAAGCAAGGACTCAGCACTAGCCTCCAGCCCAGGTGAAAATGAAAAACAAAATAAAACAAACAAACATAAATGAGTGTGAGAAGGAGAAAAATAGAAAAAGAAATGAGCTATAAGAACAAAAAAATACAAAAGTTACCCGAGAAAGTAATTCCCTAAAAATCAGAACTGACCAAGGATATGAACAAACAGTTCTCAAAAGAATTGTGAAGTATTCTCAACTACATGAAAGAATGCCCCAAATTACTGAAATAAAAAAAAACAAATCAAAACAACTCTGAGGTTTCACCTTATGACCTGCAAATTGGCAAAAATGACAAAAAATGTCAATAGTTAATGTTGGAAGGGTTGCAGAATAACAGGAACACTAATACATTATTGGTGAACCTGTGACACAGTATAACAATTTTGCAAAGCAATTTGGAGTTATGCAAATAACTAAAATCTCCATACCCTTTGAACCAGAGAGTCCTTTACTAGATTTATACTCCAAGGAAGCTATCAATAAGAAGAAATTCCCCATATACACTAAAATATTCATAGATTTTGTGATAACAAAGAATTGGAAACAAAGTAGATGCTCATCAATTCTGAAATGTCTAAACAAACTGTGGTCCATGAATATAATGGAATGTTATTGTCCTATAAGAAATTATGTATTTGATGACTACAGAAAATCACAGAAAGATCTATATGAAATACTGCAGAGTGAAGTAAGCAGTCATGAAAACAATATATACAACAACTACAACCATGCAAATAAAAGAACTATGTAGCAAAATATCAAAAGTGAATGTAACAAAATTACAAAGATCAAGTAGAACTTGAATGAAAAGACATGTGAGAGGATACCGCCAATCTACCCCTTTGTGGAGGTGGGAGGTGTTATACATTACATAGGTTTTTGGAAGTTTTCAATGTATTAATCAGTTATGTTGATTTTTTTTTCCTCTCCAAGAAACACTATTTATTAAATGGGATGGCTCTCTGGGAGGGAGAGGAATACTTGAGATAACTATGGTGATTCAGGAACAGAAGTTGTCAACAAAAGCATATTTTTTTAAACAATAAAATTGACTAAATAGAAGCCAATGACTCCACGAGACATCAAGAAATAGTAAAATGAAGTCAAAAGACTGAAAAAAAATAGAAGAAAATTAGATATCTCATGGCAAAATCAACTGATCTGGAAAACATTTTGGAGAGGTAATTTAAGAATCTTTGGACTACCTGAAAGCTATGAACAAAAAAAAAGGCCTACACATCACATTTTAAGAAATCATAAAACTGCCCAGATCTCTCAGAACCAATGGGTAAAGGAGACATTTAAAGGATCTGACAGTTACTTCCTTAAAGAAACCACAAAATAAAAACTCAGAAATATTATAGCCAAAATCCAGATGTCTGAAGTAAAAAAAAAATTACAAGTAGACAGAAAGAAAGAGTTCAAATACCAAAGTGCCTCAGTCAGAATCATAGATGATTTATCAGCTAACACTACTAAGGAATGAATACTTTGAAAAATGATATCCCAGAAAGCAAAGATCTAGGCTTACAAAAAAGAATAACTTATCTACCAAACCTGAGTATAATTGTACAGAGGTGGCAAGGGCAGGGGGTGGATGGTCCTTTAACAAAAAAGAGGACTTCTGAACATTCCAGATGAAAGGACCAGAGTTGAGTAGAAAATCTGACATATAAACATAGGAGTCAAGAGAAGCATTAAAAGACAACCATAAGTGAGCAATCATGGGAGTCAAAACAAGGTTAAATTGTTTACATTCTTATATAGGAAAATGACACAAGTATTCCTTCAGAACTCATCAGGGATCATAGAGGGAATCTAATTAAACAGAGGCCTGAAAGGGGTTATTATGTTTTGATGATCTTAAAGGAAGAAAGAAAAAAGAGGGGAAGAGGTATATATTGGTAGAAGGAGGGAGTGAGGAAAGAAGAAGAATAGGAAAAATTATAAATCACACAGATAGAGTGATAAAGTAGAAATCTACAATGAGGAGAAAGTCAGGGGATGGAGAGTGGGTGACATATGAATCTCACTATCACATGAATTGGTCAAAGGAAGGAAGAACTAAACATACACACACATTTGGGTACAGAAGTACATTTCACCTAACAGTTAAACAAGAAGAAAGAAGTTAAAGAAGAGGTTGGGGAAGATAATGGGGAGAGCAGATTAAAAGGGAAAACAAACTATTAAAGATGGGGCAGGAAACAGGAGAAAAAAAATATAAGAATAGGATGGAGGGAAATACACAATTAACAGTTGTAACTGTAAATGTGAATGGGATGAACTCATGTATAAAATGGAAGAAGCTAGCAGAATCGTTTAGAAACAAGAATCCAAAAATATGGTTTTATTAGAAACACATTTGAAACAGAAAATACATTTCTTTATTCTTTTAACATCATCAAATAAACGGTTGGAGCAGAATTTATCATGCTTCAGCTGAGGTTAAAAAGGCAAGGGTAGTAATCATGAACTCAGACAAAACAACAGCAAATCGAATAAAAATAAATAGACAAGAAAATCACAATTTGCTGAAAGATACCATAGTCAATGAATTAATATCAATACTACACACATATGCACCAAATGGCATAGCATCTAAACTCTTCAAAAAAAAGTTAAATGAATTACAGGAAGAAATAGTCAGTAAAACTAAAATAGTAAGAAAATCTCAGATCTAGATAAATCTAACCAAACGATAAATTAAAAAGTACCTGATTACAATTTTAGAAGCATTACATCTGTTAAATCTCTAGAGAATACTGAATGGGAGTGGAAAGGAGCATGCCTATTCTCTACTGTTTGTGACACTTTCATAGAATTTGACCATGTATTAGGACATAAAAAAAATCTCACAAACAAATACGGAAAAGCAGAAATATTAAATGTCTCTTTTGCTAAGCATAACTCATGAAAATTATATTGAGTAAAATGTCTTTACTCTGTACCAGTTCAAGTATCACCAGGATCACCATTTTCCTGCCACAGTGCTGAGTCTGGGCCCTCTCCATCAGTCCCTGGTTCTCAAAATGCTCCTGAATGGGCCTTTCTTCTTATTGCTACTTTGCCACCTTTTAATCTCCTCTCCCCTCCACCCCAGTATGTTCATGCCAATTTTCTGCTAAAAAACTTTTGAGTGGCGCCCTATGGTCTAGTAAGCAGACCTGAGGCAGTGAAAGCAACTAAAAGGCTATTTCAATAGTACAGTCGCAAGGTGATGAGAGCCTGCACCAGCATGGTGGCTGTGTGAGTGGGAAGAAGGGATGCTTATGAGAGATGTGATGGTGGAAATAACAAAACTTCAAGGTCAGATTTTTGAAGCATGTGTGGAGAAGTGCAGAGGATGACAGATTGCAATCCTGTGTAATTGAGAGGGCAGTAACAGAGAAGTTTGGGGCAGGGGTTTAAGAGACAAGTAGTGATAGTGAACTTGGTCAAGTCATTTAATGTCTTGGTGTCCAAGACTGTAAGTGCCACAAAGGTTCATCAGGAGAGGGAGAATCTTCTCCCAGCAGTCCCCTATAATCTCTAATCCTATTTTATCTCTGCCTGGAATTCCTTCTCCCTCTTTTTTTACCAGTGGAATTCCTAATTATTCTTTCAGCTTGACTTAAATGTCCACCCCTTGAAGTCACCTCTGATCCTCCAGGCATATTAATGCCCTTTTCCCTGACACTATACACAGTACTTCATTTTATAACTCTAATGCACTTATGTCAGATTGTATTTTAAGGCTAGCTACTGTTAAAAACTCAATGGGACAATGGGGCTAAAAGAGAAGAAGCTGTGTCTTAAAGGCCATAGAGAAAAAGAACCTGCAATTCCCCAGGCCCATTTAAGAGCATCAGAATGTAGACCCAGGGTTGGGTTGATCCCATGGAGGCTTAGAGATTGGCCTGGAATGAGCCCTAGTAGAAGAAAAGTGAAAGGAAAGCTAAAATGGATTGTAAGAGAAGTAGGTTAGAGAGTAGGAGTGAGAGGACTCACTGGTTATATGGGGGAGGGTGATTATTGCCATGATAATCAAGCATTTTGATACAGTGGTTAGAGAGCTGGGCCTGGAGTCAGGAAGTGCCAAATTCAAATCTGGCCTCAGACACTAGCTGTGTGATCCTGGGCAGGTCCCTTAACCTCTGCCTGCTTCAGTTTTCTTTACTAGAGGAGAGAAAAAAGATTTTCTTACATTGATCCCTTACCTAGAGTGAGTACTGCAGTGGCTGTTACTGTTATGTTCCTTGGCCCATGTTAAGTGACTGTAGTCTAAAAGTTTTTATAAAAAGGGAACTTGCCTCGCCTTAATTCACGTGGCAGCTTTATTTATGAAAAAAGTCAATGAAAATAATTCAAATATTTCTCTAAGAACTCCATAGTATTCTTTTCTTACCATCAGAAAGAGATTCATAGTCATAATCATATTCATCCTCCTCATCGTCCTCTTCGTCATTATTAGCAGGAGTAGGATTGACACTACCACCATTACTAGTCTGTGTTTGCATCGATGCCAACTGATGAGCCTGTTAAGATGAAAATAACTTAAAACTGTAAACATTAAACTACTGAATTTTGATTTCTAACTTTTAAATATAACTTTTAATGCTGACAATCTCCCCAAAAATTTATTGACTTTAGCTCATTTAAAGGGAAAAAATTCAGATCTTCTGGAAACAGTATCAATACCAGAATCAACGTCTGTACTCCTACTGAAATCTCACAACTCTAAAAACCACTAATAAAAACTTTTTATCTCTTCTCAATAGCATATATTCCCAATATGAAGCATTTTAACAGAACTATATGATACTTGGGGGCCAAAACAAGGCCAAAGCAAGTGACCTGGACGAGTACCGGATCAATGGATCAGAGGATCTGACTGAACGGCCAGACTCAGAGTACAGTGATGTGTGAATGTTGTTTTTGTTCAGTTGTATCTGATTCTTCATGACCTCATGGACCAACTGTCTGTGGGGTTTTCTTGGCAAAGATACTGGAACGGTTTGCCACTTCCTTTTCCAGTTTTGTGTCGGCAGGGGGTAAGTGACTTGCCCAGAGTCACACAGCTAGTAAGTATCTACATGATATGAACTCTGGTCTTTTTGACTCCAGGCCCAGTGCTCTTATCCACTGTATCACTTGGTACAAATAATAATTTTGATATGATTTAATTATGTGACAGCAATCGTCTGCCCTATGTGTTTCTATTCATGCTACACTGACTCAGAACTTTAACCAAATAAAACTCAGGTGTGCTAGTTTCTATACCTTTAGTTAGTTCTCTGTCAGCTGAGTGTTGGATTTTGTGCCACACACATTTTGGCAACTGCTCCTATTTGTTGTGTTTTTAATTCTGTGGTCTTTAAGAATGGATATTACTCCAAGGCAATGTTCAACAACTATAGCTGTTAAAGAGTATCAATAACTCTTAGAGAGACTTCAGCAGCTGTTGGTGTAGGGGAAGACGACTGATTCTTGTCTTTAAAGCCCACAATGAGACAGGGTCAGTCATGTCAAAGCACAAGTAATCAATCAACAATCAGTAAACATTTATTTAAGTACTTACTATGTGCCAGGAAATGTGCTGAGTATTAGTGATACAAAAAGAGGCGAAAGATAGTCTTTCTCCTCTAGTAGCTTACAATCTAATGGGGGAGACAACATGCAAACAAGTATAATCAAAGCAAGTTATATGTAGGATAAAAAGGAAATAATTAAGAAAGAGAAGGCTTTAGAATTAAGAGGGCATTAGGAAAGGGTTCCTGTAAAAGATAGGATTTTATTTGGGCCTTAAAGGAAGCCAGGGAAATTCAGTAGGCATGGGGGACAGCCAGAGAAAATACCTGGAGCTGAGAGATGGAGTATCTTATTTATGGAACAGCCAGGAAGCCAGTGTCACTGGATCAAAGAATCTTATTGGGGAGTAAAGTTTAACACACCTGGAAAGGTACATCATGCAGTGTTCTGAATCCCAAACAGAGGATTTTGTATTTGATCCTGGAGGCAACAGGGTGCCACTGGAATTTATTGAGCGGGAAGGGAGGTGACGTGATAGGACCTGTGATTTAGAAAAATCACTGTGGTGGTTGAATGGAGGATGTATTGGAGGAGGATGAGAACTGAGGCAGGCAGACCCACTAGCAAGCTCTTGCAACAACAGTCCAGGTGAGAAGTGATGAGGGTCTACTCTAAAAAATGTGTCAGAGGAGAGAAGGGGGTATATTGGAGAGATGTTGAAAAAGTGAAATCAACAAGCCTTGAAAACAGCTTGGATATGGGATGGTGATGGTTAGAGATAGTAAGGATTCCTGGATGACTCCTAGATTAGGATCCTGAAGGACTGGAGAAGGGGGGAAGGGGCAGGTTTAGGGGAAAAGATAAATGAGTTTTTGAACATATTGAATTTAATTTGTCTCTGGACATCTAGTACTAGATGTCTGATGGGAAGCTAGAGATGTGAGACTGGAGGTCAGCAGAGAGATTGGGGCAGGATAGTTAGATCTGAGAATCATCAGCACAGAGATGGTAATTAAATCCATGGGAACTGATCAGATCACCAAGTGAGGTAGTATTGAGGTAGAAGAGAAGGCGGCCCAGGACAGAACCCTGAGAGATACCTATGGTTAGAGCACATGATCTGCAGGGGGATTCAGCAAAGGAGACAGTGAAGGAGCAATCAGATAGGTAGGAACAGAACCAGGAGAGAGTGGTGTCTGGAAAACCTAGATAGCAAAGTGCCATCACCCTGAAAAATTATTTCTACAAACAGTTAGTCCTCAGAAAACAAGCAGCAACTTTCAGAGGAACCTGGCAAGTTGGAGGAGTTGTTAGAATATAACACTGGCTTCCTGAAGATGGAAGGATAATGAGAAGATCAGTAAAAACAAAAAAACAAAAAACCAAACTAAAGAGCTGATGACCATTACCATGAAGAAAGACACTTGTCAGAGGCAAGACAAAACAAAGATTGTAAAAAGGTAATTTTTTAATAATGAAACTCCCTTTTTCATTCAGAGCTATACCAAAACCATTTTCTGAAGAAGTCTGGATGACCCTATGAGTTCTGGGCATCTGTTTTGGTGATTTTTTACTACTAGTGAACCTAGAAGTCTTGTTCCCATTGGTGGAATAATGAACTTTGATACTGTTGCTGTTGTTAATTGTTTGAGTTGTGTTTAATTAAACCCCCATTTGGGGTTTTCTTGGCAAAGATACTGAAGTGAGTTTGCCATTTCCTTTTCCAGTTAATTTTATCAGTGAACTTTGATAAGCATATGGATACACTGATGTAGCACTTGCTCTGGGTTACCCCTTCCCCCCAACTTGCATGTATACATTGGTTCCCCAGAAGGGGCTCTTGTAACAGGTTCTAGAGGAAATCCTGTGGGTGACTATTTCTTCAATTGTAGCTCATACTCTCCTCCCAGACTAATGATCAACCAGTAGATTTAACTGGCATAATAAGAATAATTGGTACAAAAAAAAATACACAGAGTATCCATGGGAAGAGTGCAAGGCACACGTGTAGGATATCTGTGTGGCAAAGGGTTATACATACCTCCTTATACATCACGGTTTAGAACTCTTTTCTTGAGTCTGTAGTTTGCATTCCTCTCTGGTGCAAGGGGTCATACTTTTTAAAGCTGTACCCTTTATCAGGTGTTTATCTCTACAACTATCTGCCCTTGGTGTGCTTCTCTATCCTAGACTGGGCCTATTATTGGCCCAGTTTTTCTCATGATGAGGTCAGTAGGGGATGGGGAAGAAGAAAATCTGTAAGTTCCCCTCCACCCTTCCAATTCCCTTTTAGAAGCCTGATTTTTTCCTTCACTTCTGTAACACTCTCTCAAACTGACAAACTTTAAACCAGAACTCTTCTACTGACATACTTGTGAAATTCTGAAATGATTACTTGTTTCTTAATAAGCAGATCCAAAGGGCACATACGATTCTCTCAACCAAACACAAGACATTTCCTGTGTTATTTTTTCATTTGTCCTTACCACTGTATTTAACGTTTCAATGTCAACTTGGGAGGATGACCAGTGGGGTGCCCCAAGATTTATGCTTAGATAAGTGGTGTTTGTCATACTGACTGATGTCTAGGACAAAGTATAAATGGGATGCTTATAAAATTGGAAGATTACACAGATGTGGGAGGACTAACACTGACAGCCTATGATATTGGACTGAATTTGATAAAACCAAATTCAGTTGGGATAAATATGAAGTATCACATTGTTTTAAAGAAATCAAGTTTATTGGTACAAGATGAAGGGGACATAATGAGATAACAATTTGTCTGAAAAATATCTCATTAGAGTGCATTCATCTTGGTTACATCAATCAAGTACAGTATAACTTCTAGGAATAATGCAATGATAGTTTAATTATATCTTTCGTGGGTAGACACATCTATAATACTGAGGTTCAATATTAAAGATTACATTTTGTGTGTGTGTGTGTGTGTGACATCAGACAAATAATTTTATTTCTCTGGGCCTCAGTTTTTACATCTAAAAATTGTGTTATGCTGATTCTTTTTTAAAAAAAAATATTTATTTTTAGTTTTCAACATTCACTTCCACAAGATTTTGAGTTCCAAATTTTCTCCCCATCTAGTCCCTTCCCCCACCCCAAGATGGCATGCATTCTGAATATCCCTTCCCCTAATCTGCTCTCCCTTTTATCTCTCTTCCCCTTCTCGTATCCCCTTCCCCTTCAATTTTCCTGTAGGGCAGGACATATTTCTATACCCTATTTCCTGTATATCTTATTTCCCAGCTGCATGTGAAAAAAAAATTTTTTTAACATTTGTTTTTAAAACTTTAGGTTCCAAATTTCTTCCTTCTTCCCTCCTCACCTACCCTCATTGAGAAGGCAAGTAACTTGATACAAGTTATACATGTGTAGTCATGTTGTGAAGTAACTCTATTTCCCTTAATCCTATCCTGCCCCCCATTTATTCTATTCTCTCTTTTGACCCGTTCCTCCTTAGAAGTGTTTGTATCTGATTATCCCTCCCCCAGTCTGCCCTCACCTCTATTATCCCCCTGCCCTCTTGTCTCCCCCTCCCCCATTTTCCTGTAGGGTAAGATAGATTTCCATACCCAATTGAGTGTGTATGTTATTCCCTCCTCAACCCAAATCCTATGAGAATAAGATTCACTCATCTCCTCTCATTTTCCCCATTTCCCCTTCACTATAAAAGCCTTTTCTTGTCTATTTTATGTGAGATAATCTACTCCATTCTACCTCTCCCTTTCTCCTTCTCCCAATATAATCCTCTCTCACCCCTTAATTTTATTCTCGAGATATCACCCCTTCATCTTCGACTCAGCCTGTGCTCTCCATCTATCTATCTATCTATCTATCTATCTATCTATCTATCTATCTATCTATCCATCCATCCATCTACATAATATACTTTTTTCCCTCCAACTACCCTAATATGGACAAAGGTCTCATGAGTTACAATTATCATATTTCCATGCAGTTATGTAAACAGTTCAATCTTACTAAG